GTTGATGCGTGTATGTTATTTCATTGTAATTTCAGTTTTTTGACTAATAAAATTGTTTTTTCAGCTGATCTTCTCAATTTTTTCACAGTTTCTTTCAGGGATTTCAAATCAATTTATATCATATCAGACAATGGAAGTCCGAACTGATGAAATGAAAAAATATATCTCAATTTTCGTTCCTGATAATAAATGAATTGTCAATTCAAATAAACATGAGTTCTTATCGTACAGCATAAAAGATATATATTTTTTTCAAAAGATAGTACAATCAGTTATCGAAACTAATTCTGAGGATCGTGATATTGTGATTTACGTTCAATATCCATAAAAAAATCAAGACATCTTGTGTTCTAATTATACAACTGATCATGGAACTCCATATACGCAACCCACACGTTTTGAACTATCTTTCATACGAGGCTCTAGTTAAAGTAAGTAAAATAATAAAAATAAGAAAACTCGGTTCACCTGAAACTTAGGGGAATGATATACAGAAATTATTGATATTGAGATGACTGGGAGGTCCCTCATAAATAATACGAAATTTAAAATGCTCTATATACATTAATATTTCGTGAAATGGCGAAGATCAAGTGTGTGAGGAAAATCCTCATACTCAGTCGTTCCACATGTGGGCCTAAAATATACGTCAACTAAGTTTACGACTACAACTTATCTTATTTAAACCAAAGACGATTGTGAATACTAAAAATCGAAACGTCGTGAAGCAAATCGGCTTGGAATCTCTTAATTTTTTATTTTTTGTTTGATTGTCCTATTTTTTACTTGTATTTTATTTCACTGTAATTTCATTTCATGTTTTTTTTGTTTAATATAATTGTTATTTTTAGCTATTGTTTTCCGAACTAATGAAATTCATCATGAAACATTGTCAATCACCTTCAAACTGAGATTTGATTTTTTCAATTTCATAAACGAGTACAAACTGAATAGAAAAAAGTGATTTCTATATAATTCATTGTTAAAATTTTGGAAAGTAGTTATTTCAGATGAATTTCTTCTCCCAGTTTGTATCTGAAAAAAATTACTCTGTAGGATCGATACAACTTTGTAAAGAGTTCATATTCAAGTTGATACCTTTCTTTTTGTCCAGAAGTTTTCCACATTATCTCTACTACAAATAATTCTTTTTCATTTTGGCAGATGATATATCACACTTACGAATAATACTTGTCGATAACATTCCAGCCTAAACGAGTACGTGCTAATCCTGAATGGGCTGTTCCATACGGCTGTCTATTTTCTAGATGCAAAAAACTGCACAATTCGCATAATTAATTACGACAAATGAATGAAATATCATTTCACTTTTCAAATAAATCAGTGATAAGAGATTATTAAAAAAATATATACGTTTGTTTGAAGGTAGTTGACAATGTTTCGTGGTGCATTTCATTTCATTAGTTCGGACTAATATGATATAAATTGATTTGAAATCCCTGAAAGAATCTTCAAAAAAAAATTT